ATCTAAATATTTCAAATAATTTCCTCAGAAATTAGAAGATGGGGTTGCTATATCATGGTTGTGACACAGGAAATATTAACATTAGGATTTAAAATGTTCTAAAATCATAAAACTGACCAGAGCCTGTCTGACACTGATGTACTCTGCAGAGGTGGATTGTGGCAAGAGGGTCGTTTAGAGTGACAGCTGCCCCTGATATTCCCTGATTTTATTACATTTTAATGAATGTCTGACGGTGTTAACAAAAATTGGGGACACAACTTTAAAACATGCATGTGTCAATGAAAAACAACCTTGCTTTGATATGAGATATTACTAAGTGTTGCTTTTGATAAAACAAGCTCTTTTTCATCATTAAAAACATTTTTATCCATTTTATAGCATATGAATGATTGAACCCTTCTCTGTGGACACACTGTTTTAGATGCAGTGAGAAGACAATAAGAGTCATAGATTTCACATAATAATAATGATAAAATTAAATTGAAGGGGATAATTGTGTTAAATACATTCTATTATTAATCCCCCATAACATTTACAATTGAAAATATTTTTATTTTTAAACCTAATAGCAGTTACAATTGCTGGACATGTTTTGTCCCATGTCTTAAGAATCAGTTTACAGAAAAAACAATTCTGTGTTGTTGTCTCGGTCAGAATCCGTGTGAAGCAGAATGCATGACCTGCAAAGCTGGCACGTTCATGTCAGTGGCAAATAAAGATGTTTGCGACCTAGAAGCCCACATAAGCTCCGCAAAACACAAAATTGCAGCTGAGAAAGTTCGTCAGATAAATTAGCACGCACAATACATCAAAGAAGCAGTGGAAAAGAAAGGGATTTTTTCCAAATGTATTGCGTTTACCGGTCGCAACTGCAATACAATGTTCGGGGGAATCCGGCGTCCGATCATTGTATTGCAGTTGCGACCGGTAAACGCAATACATTTGGAAACCAACCCTGAAACAACATACAGAACTTCCAAATTTTGCTATAAGTTTGATTGCATGTTCATCGTGTGTTTTTATTACGTCTTTAATTGATTACGTCTTTAATTGATTTTTCCGTACATTTCTGCCGATATGTACATTAACTGACAGTCACCACTGATAAGCTACCACTAAATATTGTAGAAACTTAATTTGCTGTAAAGTTGCTTTGCAACGATTTGTATTCTGAAAAGCGCTATACAAATAAACCTGAATTGAATTTAATTTAATTTAATGCAAATGTAGAGAGAGTTTTTTTCACTGATGCAAAGCCAGTGGACAAAGGAAAGGAATCACTTGTCTGTTGAGTCACTGAAGGGGCCATGTAAAAGGTGTTAAAAGCTAAACTATTTTTTGTATTTGTTTGTTGTTATTCTATTGTTGAGGACCAAAGGTTGAATGGAAAGGATGTTACTTTGTATTAAAGTTCAGTAACATAGTTGCATGGTTGTTAACGCATTTGTCAAGTATTTAGGCCCCCCTTCCACCCACTACAGGTTTCCATCTGCCTCCTGCCCCCACTGTCCTCTTTTTTGAAAACTAAAATATGGTCACCCTATTTAAGAGGATGGTAAAATCTCCAGCAACGGTCGGCTGACAGCCTGTGAATTATTTTGAAAGGACTGCTGAAGTCATGCCGCATGCGCACACCCTTCTTACTGTCACACACACAACGTAGGCCTAAATGCTGGCAAAATAACATCAGTTATTGTACATTTGTATTTGTTATCCTGTTTATGTGTTTGTAGTGTGCCATTCATTGTTCTTTGTAATGTTTCATTGTTTTGTCTGTTTCATTTTCAATTTTCTGTCTGAAAGCTGTAATTGCAACAAAAACTCAGGCCAAGCATGCATAAAAACAAACTCATTGCCAATGTTTTAATGGAAGTATAAACTATCAGATGCAATTAACTAATGATCTAATACAATTAAATATGAAGTGTCTCTGTGTGTTCTTTTATCTATTTGCACATCAAATGAAAACACCAATATCAAACAGACATCTTTGCGATGTATGTGTGCCATCAGGGGTTGGATGCTTAGAAGTTAATTGCAACATTTTATTAAGTCTTTTTTTGTCTCAATTCAAGTTTTTTCTTCACTCCCCACTGTTTCACTATAACCTTTCGATTTATATTATGCAATATCTCCACTGAGTTACTCATGAAATGTAGATGATAGGTGAAAAAAACGATCAGAGCAAACCTGACTTCCTGTGCTTGACGTGTTTGAACTTTTTCTCTCTTTGCTGTGTACTAGCATACAGTGCTGTCTGGGAGGGACCCGGGTTTCATATCAAGTGTTGTATTTGCAGTTACAACATGAGGATTTTGCAGCTTCATTTCTGTGAGTATTACAGCTTTTAATGTGCTGAAATTTATTTAATGTACAAATCCAGTCAAAAGTTTTGACACGCTACTAGTTTATTGTCTACTGATAAAAACGTATAAATGGTTGCTAAATATAGATAATTAAGGAAAATCAGCCAACAGGTGGCCAGCAAATAAACTGTGAATATGTCATATGTCATATGAATGTGTGTGCAAATTTTTATTTTTATTTTTTTTTTTTACCGATAGTGTTTAGGGAGGTACGTGATTCTGTGATTTTTTTCTTTTTTTTTATCTTGTAGATCTACTCATATGGTGTCAAGCAGCAGAAACTTTAACAGATCATCTAACAGATTTGGGGCAAAATGTGACTATAACCTGTAATCTTCACCAAACTGAGGTGTATTGGTTTTTACTGAAACTACTTGGTTCTCCAGTTGTGATATTACGCTCCTTCTCGAACAATTTTCCTCATTACTACAACAAAGTATTTGAGCTCAAATATGCAGTGAACTCTAAACATCATCTGCTCATAAATAATGTCACCATTGATGATTTAGGAGTTTATTGCTGTATGAGTACAAATACTGATCCACAATTCATCAACGCCACCAGACTGTACATCATTGGTAAGTGCACTATTGCTAATTAAATCATTCAGTACAGCGATTATTTAGAGATTATTAACCGATTGTGACTTTATTCCTTCCTTACAGAACCAACTCCACTAACTGAGTGTCAGAATTATACAGAAGTGCAGTATATTCAGCAGAATCAGACATCTTGGCAGACTCTTACCCTCATATTTGGTCTGATAAATGCTGTTTTGGTCGTTGTTGTCATAGGTGAGTTTTCACAAGTGTAGAAAATGAAGCAACTCAATGCTCAATGTTAAAGTGACGTTTTTAAATTAGTAACCGAGGCTTGGGCTCAGCTGTTAAACTGAGATTTGAATCTGTGGCGGAGTAGTTCTACATAAAAGAGGGGTTTTAAAGACTATCCGTTATTGTCTCTTTTTTTTATTTACACACTCGTGCTGTCGAACTGTTGTATAAACGCAATATTACACTCGTAGCCGTGAGATATGGTTGTATATCAGCACGCTGTGATCTATGGCCGAATCACAACCGTGCCGATATACAGCCATATTACACTGCTACTCATGTCGATATTGCTCATATATACACACATAACACACACACACCATGGACACAAATTTAAAAAATTAGTTCTCATAACTTATTTGTGGCCATGTTGTACTAATTTGTTCCCTCATTTTAATTTATTTAAGTCGTTGATATTGATTTTGACATTTGAATTTAACATTCAATTACATTTGTTTTGAAACATAAACTTTAAATGAACGTTAGATGATGGTAAATGTAACATAAATGTCAAAATAAAGAAATGAGCATGCACAATTAAATATAAAATATCAGCCAATAATAATAAAGTAAAAAATCTGTAATAGCAGCCAATAACCCAACACGCTCTTAAGGCAATTTGTAACTAATTTAAATTTGGGCAAAGTGGTGGCTAATTCGTATGAATTTGTACGATCTCATTCATGTGTTTTCATATTTTTTTATTTTTTTAAAGAAATTAGTTTCCATACTGTACAAATCACATCATACAAATGTATACAAAATTGCCACTTTTGAGATAGTTATGTTTTCTCATGAGATTGAGTTGAAAACCGATATTGATAACCGATATAATACAGATATATTGTGCATCCCCATTCAAAAATACAGTATCGTGGCTCCATCTCCAAGTGTTGTAATTGCATAAACATTTATTGTTTTATTGAATTCTCAGGACTGTTGAAGGTTTGTGCCTGTAGAAATAAAAGGCCTGCAGATCTTTCACAACAACTTTATAACACTGATCTACAGCTGACACAAGTTATTCAACAGCATCTCGATCCAAACCAATTACAGGTACATTATGTGAATCAATCAATCTATCTATCTATCTATCTATCTATCTATCTAAAGCTCTTTTCCTCATTGCTCTTTCAGCATGCTGAGGAGGACTCTTCCATGTTGTGTACAACTATTCATCTTGGTCCAGTCAACAGCACTTATGTTGCTTTACAGCTGCCAAAATCATAAACAGAAGTGTACAGCCGAGCTCATACTGACTTCATAGCGTTTAAGAACAAACTGATACTCTTTCGGTTGTCCAAGCGCACGTGTGGATGATGGATGTGCATTGTGGTTTAGTTTGCTGCAGAAAAAGTGTTGCGTCTAGACAGGTGGTCTGCACTTTAACCCAGTGAAGAGTTTTCTCTTTGCCTTTTCTGCTGCACTATAAAATATAAACCTTTAGATTTATATTATGTCATATCTTCAGTCAGTCACGTATGAAGTGCAGATGATTGGTAAAAAAGTGATGAGAGCAAACCTGACTTCCTGTGCTTGACGTGGTTGACATTTTGTGATGTTAACATTTGTGTATCAGTCTTCTCACCAAGTGTTTGATAAGTTGTGATATGGTATGCATTATAGATTTTATAGCAAATGAAGGCCTTTCAGCTACTGCTTATGTTATTAAATTAAAGTGTTTATTAAATTAATACTTTCATAGCATCACACTTCTGCTGAAAGCTAAAAAAGGTGTGATAATCTGCAGAAAGGACCATGTGGAGACACACAAATGTCTAGATCTAAGATAAGCAGAGTAACACTAGCAATATTCGCCTGCGTGAGACAACTGAGAATATTTATAGTTTTTTCTGAACATACTGTAGGCTAAGTTTTAAAACAACCATGCTGCTGTTATAACTGTAATTCAGCAACAAGTTCAACAGAGTAACATAGAACCGCTTTTCTGGCTTTGACACCCTGTGGCAGTGATGTACAAAAATAAGTGTTCCAGCAGCTGCGACAGTGTTCAGACATTAAAATTCTTTTAACAGCTTTCTGTCAGAAACGCCTCTCATTTTTATGGCAGTACTTTTACCAAAGACAAACAGAGCATGTCAAACTTACTTCCGCCGAGATTCTGAAGTGCATCCTTTTATAATGTCTATACAGTACAGTAGACTGAAATATATCTGTGCAGGTAATGGTTTGAAGTGTAAAGAGTTTTAAACGAGTTTTATTCTTAATTGAGCTTATAACAGATAAATGAGTGACAGACCAAATAGCCAATCAAATCGCTGCACTGAGACTCGCTGCCATCGGTCATTTTATCCATCGAGCTTTGCAGAAATGTCAGGCACATTTTGGACAGTTTTTTGGTAAATTCCTTAACTATGGCAAAAAGGTGTTGTTTTGGCACAAGTCTTTCAGATATTCAGAATGACTATAATGTAGTTTAGTTTCGTCTCAGAAATCAGATAGTAATCTCTAAAAATGCAAGTATATGATCATTCTTTATGACAGTGACTTTATGTTAAATTTCCATTATGTTTTCTCCATTAAATACAAATACTGTAAAGTGAAGTGACATGTGGCCAAGTATGGTTACCCATACTAGGAATTAGTGCTCTGCATTTAACCCATCCTTCGAGCACACACACACAGCAGTGAACACACACTCACCATGAACACACACCCG